CGGTGACACCAGGGAGCTGCCTCAACAGCAAATTTTGACCTCAGCTCAGAAGCTGACAAATCAACAGGCCAGCATTGACTGCAAAACTCCATCAACTTCAGATGAGACACCACACAAACAAGGACCTAGCACTGTTTGGAGATTTCATCCATTCCATGTCCCCCTGGGTCTCCGTGCGAGCTGAGGTCAGAAGTATTCCCGGAAGGACGGAGAACCACTATCGCCCGGTCCCGAAGGCCAGTCAGAGCAAACATCAACTTTCATGAATTGATGTGTACCTTTCATGAAATTTCATGAATTTTCATGGCCAAACCCTTGCATACATCTTTTTCTGGAGATGGTTTGACTCATTCTTCTCCCCCCGGCCTGGGCCCACCTGCAATCCGATGCACGGTTTGGCACACACGGTTTGGTGAAGGCAAGAGCTTTGCGGACGGCAAGAAACTCTACACGCGATGTCCCCATCCTCCAACCGCAGCCAAGATGGCAGCGCGCCAGGGCCCCAGGGGCGCAGCACGAAGGGTGGAGGGAACAGCTGACCATCGGAAGCCCGGCAGCCGCAAGGCATTCAACAGCTTCGGAAGGAGGAGGACTCCACGGGAGGCCAGGGCGCCCAGGGCGCCCAGGGCGCATTGGGGTGTCGGGGTCCACAAGATGATTCAGAAACTTCACAATCGCAGGTCTTCTCCAGTAAATTAAAGGGAGGTCTTCTCCACTAAATTAAAGCATAGATACTGAAACCCCACCATTTGTAGTTTTATTTTTATTTTATATACTTTTTTTTTCTCCGTGCCTATGTGCTCAGGAGGGTACATGTTGAACCTCAATATTCAATGGTTCTCCCTGCTAAGGCCCAAGTTGGTTCAAGCATGCAGAACCTCAACACTGAACACTCTTTCAGAGTCATTGTTCTCTATATATCATATTTGTACCCAAGGTGTTTGTTTGGCTGTCTCAGGCACCGTGCGAATATAAGGCTACATTTCAAATACATTTTTAGGGATATTCGCTTAGATTGGCACCACAATAGACTTTGAACATATTTTAGCTTCCTCCAGTTTAGGCAATGTCGCAAGCCCAATACAAACCAACCGACCAGTTGGGGCTGAATCATTACTCATAACGCATCATAACACTTCTAAGATTCAATGGCCTTCAGCAGGTGCTGTCACCACCGTGGTCTCTGGAATGCCTGTGGGGCTTGGAGAGCCCTGCTTTGACAAACTGGAGGTGCTACTGCTGGGTTGCTGTGCTGGGACGCTTCTCCATGTACCGGGTGCCCGGGTGTCCTGTTCAGGCAGAGCTAGCCAAAGCGATGCTGTCACTGCCGGCCACCAAAGCATTTGAGTGACTTGGCTGAGCTGAAGCTGGACTCTGGACCAGCTGTGGAACTTAGTCGATGTTGGTTTAGACTTGAGTGATGTCAATTTTTTGCAGGCCGTCACTGTGAGACATGGTATTTACGTCCGCCTTTCATGGAAGATCACAGGAAAATGCCAACGGGGAATGTCGCCATGTCGCCGAGGATTGGGGATGGCTTCGAGTCCTGCAGCGCCCGTGGCTCGCAGAACAACGACCTCTTCAGCAAAGGCGGGCACTGGAAAGATTGGACAAGGACCAGTGATGGGTTGGGCATCCAATAAATAACGATGGCCATGATGATATATTTGGGTTATATAAGCTCTTTGTCTCCCTGGTATCAAGAATTTGAAGACGTGGTAGTCGCACATCTTCTTTAGCAATTCCATTTCAGCTTGCTGGAGGGGGACTCAAACTGGCATCATTGAAGCTTCTTGATGGTGAAACTGTGAAACTGATGTTTTTTCAAGAGGATGGGGATGGGAAAGGCGTGAAGTGCTGAGGTAGCAACGGGCTCCTGAAGTGCAAGACGAATCACGCAGGTCGGCGGGGTGCTGGGACCTGCCGGCGAGATAAAGCTTCCTAGAACTCGTTGAGACATTTTGACGTGCATAGTCAATGGCATCTTCCACTCTTGTTTCAGATTTTTCCGGACATTTTTGCAATTGTCAGTGTTTTTTTTGGGGTGTGTGGCTTCAATGTGGGATATGACGTAGGGTCCTCCCCTTCAGTGAATCCTAAGTCCAAACCATGGATATGTCGCGCCAGGGGGCACCCTGGGTGGCATCACCAGTGGGGAGTTGCTGGTCTTCAGGGTAGGCATCAAACCTGCCTCCTCCATCTCGCAGGATCAGGAGATGGCTCGGGTTAGGGAAGAACTTGGGAAGAACTTGGGGTTGAGAGTTGTTGGAAGATGTTGGAAGGAGACCTGGGGATCTTCATGGAGTCCATACAAGGTGGTGCCCCCCAGTTATAAGTTGGTTTATAATCCCATTAACTATAGATATATCACCAACAAAAACCATAGTTATTGGAGTTATAAACCAACTTAGCTATCGAACGGGGGCACCACCTTGTAGAGTGTTTGAAAACTCTTCGGTGGGAACTCCGAACTCAGCTCCGCCATGAGGAGACCTGCACCTTCGACGGTGAGCCCCACGTGCTGTCGGTCAAGGGGCGCCACGACCCATGTGTGCTGCCACGGGCTCCGCCTCTGGTGGAGGGGATGATGCATGGCTGCCAAGGGCCAACCAGGTTGGCAGGTTGGGGACTTCCATTTTTCTTAATTTCCAATTTTGAAACGAAGAGCCTTGGATGTCCAACTTTCTGCAAATTCGCCTTTTCTCATTTTTTTGGTTTCGAAACAAAACTTGCCGGAGCAACCTCATGCAGTCTTTTTAACATGACCTATACCAAGTGCGGAAAATTACCTTCTAGACCCAAGAAGGGTTTGTCTCAGTGTCTCAACATAGTGTACCCTTAAATACATTCGTTAATCACCATTTTCCCTATTAAACTTGCCAGGGTATGCACCATCTTCAGACACATCCAAGTGAGCCATTGAGAATGCCACTGTTGATGGGTTATTGTGGTATACTACCCGGTTTATCGGGGGTTACTGTACTGCAACCTTCAGTAGGCATTGGGATATGTACCAACCAACCAGCATAGTGGGATGGAAAAGAGGGTATTTCATGTGGTAAACCGTTAAACATCAACTAGCCATCCCCCATATCACCAGAAATATCCAGAAATGGATTTAGTCTCAACCCTCCAAGATTGAAGTTTTTTTTCCCTGAACGCCTTGGAAGCTCTAGGACGGCCATGGTGCTGATGGACGCGGTGCTGCGTCAACGCGCGCGCATGGGGGCACCCTGCAAGACGCTGGGAGAACTGGGCCACGGCCAAGGGACGGCGGCCAAGCGCTTGGCTGTGCCTTGCTTGGGGCTTTGGGGATGGATCCGTGGAGTTACCATGAAAGATGAGGGATTGAACTGGGGATACCATCTGGTAAACTAACATAGCGAACTGGAAAATCACCATCTTTAATGGGTAAATCAACTATAAATGGGCCATTTTCAATAGCTATGTTAAATTATCAGAAGGTATATTTGGCCAACTTTTGTGTGCGTGTTTTTTTTTTTTGGGTGGGATGACTGAACATGGGGTCTACACCACTTTACAGCAACTCTGGAAAATGATGATAAACCATCAGGTCTTGAAGTATTTTTTTGACCCACAGACCCTTTGAGATATAAAATATATAAACAGGTACCCAGGTTTTGGGGGTTCCATACTAGGTATGTTTTGCATTTTTTTTGGGTGCATTGCATGACTGCATTTAAAGGTGTCGGAACGAATGGAACCCCAAACCTAATGACACACGAGATGCCCGGCATTTCGGGAAGGTGAATGGTTGTAGCACAGGCAGCTCTCATTTTTATCCATTTTTGGCTCAAGAATTTTCGCTCCCATCTTGGTAGCTGCCTCGAGCCATGGCCCGCACTCTCCTCTGCTTGCTGTTGGTGATCAGTTCCGCACCGTGAGCGATTGCATCGAAAGCAAGTGCCGTGGCTGCGGGGGTGGGGGGTGAGCAATGCCAGCTGTGCCGGGAGGACCAAACGACAATTTCTGCATGTGTGTCGTCTTGCATGCACAGCATTTGCAAGGGCTGTGGTGGTGAGCAATGTCAGCTGTGTCGGCAAAATGCCAAGACCATCGAGTCCTGCTGTTCTGAACCGGTGGCCTCCGTGACCGCAAACTTGGAGATGTGCAAGGCAAAGGCACCTCAGAATCCATGTGAGGGTCTGTCCGGGGCTCAGTTCAGTCAATGCGCTTGGGAGCAAGACGTGAAGACGTGCCTTGAGACCAACTGCCAGGGCTGCGGTGGCGAGCAGTGCCAGCCATGCCGCGCTGACGCGCAGAAAATCAACTGTTGTGAGGATCATCGTCATTGGGACTCCGTGGAGCCACCGCAAATGTGTGTCGATGCCAAGGCGGAGGTGGACTCCAAGGACCCCTGCAGTGGGCTTTATGGCGCCGAGGGGTTGCAGTGCGCCTGGGAAGAGGATGCGAAGACCTGCGTGAAGAACGGCTGCAAGGGCTGCAGTGGCGAGCGTCAGCTGTGCCGACAAGATGTGCAGCGCATCGCCAGTTGCTGCGATGATCACTATCATTCCGTGGAGCCCCCCGAGATCTGTAAAGACTCGAAGGAGGAAGCCGTGACCAGCTGCTTTGACAGCAAGTGCCGTGGCTGTGGCGGGGAGCAGTGTCAACTTTGCCGTGAAGACGCCAGGGGTGAGTGCTGCACTGGGGCCATGAGGACTCCATCCTGTGAATCCTCCAAGGCTCTTCTTCCATAAGTGAAGAACCGTGTACAGTTGCGTACAGTTGCCACTGAGGCTTGCAACTTGCAGGTGTGCTTAGACCAATTTTGAGCAAGGCGAAGTCATTGGCAACAAATGACTCAGGACAAAAGTTCCTGCCGACATGCATAGCATAGGTCGAACAATTTTACCTTTTGGACCTGTCTGCAAGAGGTTCCATTCCCTGCAGATTCGGGACACAATCTTGTAACAAATAGATACAAATAGACGGTCATGAGAGTCAAAAAAAAAGAATGCTTGTAGCATAGGTGATCTGGATATCATCACAGCTCCTTTTACATTTCTTCTTCAAACCTACGAATCCCCAAAGCTTGGATAACCATCAGGGTGCACACCCGAGGCCGAGCCGCCGAAGAAAGTGGCGAAGCTTGCATGAAGGCGCGTTCCAGCGTGATTCTGCTTTAGTGGGTAAGACCTTATTAAAATATTATATAAATAGCGAGTGAATATTATATAAATGGTGAGTGGAAATAGGTCATGTTTTATTGGCCATGCTACTAGACTATGAGTGTAATGGTGTCTCTATAGGACTTCTAGCCGCATGGCTTTTACCCCGAAGTCCTTGGGTCTGTCATCTCAGGCGCTGCGCTGAGTACCATCGGGTTGGAGTTGAGGTTGGTCTATAGGAGGGGTCAGACGGACCTGCAAGCCAAGGACATAGGGAAACCAACCAGTTGGTTTCGGTAGTCCAGTCTTCCGTCATTGGTTGTCATTTTTCTGGGAGAACCTCCAGAAAACTACGGATTTTGCTTGTAGGTCTTTTTTTTGGGTCTTTCTTTTTACGTAACTTTTCCACATAAGTTGTAAGACTTCTTGAAGCTTTCATCACCGCCAATCTGTTTTGATCATGTTTTCCGTCAGCGAGCTTTGGGGGACCCAAGCAACCTCCAATCCGCGTGCCGTGATCGCGCAAAACCGCGGCGTGAAAGTTGCCTTTGCAACGAAGAAACGCGCGGGGTGGACAAATCTCTTGTGATGAGCACTTCGGTCTGGCTTTTCTCGCATTCCTTCCGAAGAAAGTCAAGTTGCAGGTCGGTTTGGCGTGATATCCGTAGAGTACCAGTGTAGTCATTCATGATTAATTATGTGCAAACAACTTTCCCTAAGTGCACTCTAGGATTTTAGGTTGAAAACGTGAATAGTCTAAGTGGTGCACCAACCCTTGATGCATTGTGATATTCTTTGAGAACGTTTGTTTGTCCAGTGTACCTGCAATACCAACATACAGCTCCCATATGCCATATGTTTTCAGCACACATAGACGCACATGCATACTAGTTTATTTCTGCGGTTTGGGAAACATGCACAGAGTACCACTGCACCCCCACTAAGGTCTTTTTTAAAGTTTTCACAGTCGTTGAGACGTCCTCCGACTGTTGCAACTTGGCTCAAGGGCCAATCAACTGACTGGCTCAATTTACCGAGCCCAACTTGGAGTGAAAAAGTGCTCTTGCATCTGCCTCTTGGTGGGGACCTCCGGGAAGGGTCTCGGTCATAGTCTGAAACCCGTGGGTTATGAGCCCAACCCCAACGCTGCCTTGAAGCAATGTCGAGCAGCGACTTCACTCAGCGTCGTCGACAAGAACGCCAAGTTCAAGCGGCTGCTCATGCTGAAGAAGTACAACATGGGACCCATGGACATGGAAAAGAAGAACGCGCGGAAACGGCAGACCAAATGCTGGACCGGCTTCTGGAGGAGATGGACGCACCTGGACAAGCACATGGGGAAAGAACAGGGACAAGATCATCAGACTCAACCCGAAGATCACTGATGGAAGGGGAAGTTGGAGAAAGTGTGATGGCACTGACCGGTGCTGGGGGAAGTGGAGCCCTAGTGCAGGTTGCGGCGGTCCGGGCTGGAGCGGGCGAACGAATCGCCCAGAATCCGGCTGTTGCGGAAGAAGTCGCAAGACCAGTGTCCTTACCACCTGAAGAACCTCCTGGACTTGAAGTGGTACGAGGAAATGGGAGTGGCGGTCTGTTGTCTGGTTTGACCCCAGGTGTGAATAGTCTAACTCTTTCGGGAGTGCCTATGACACAAACACCAGTAGTTGCCCGGATGTCTGAGGGATTTCGTGAACCACCTGTTGTGGGTAATCGAGAAGAAGGACAGGGTGGAAAACACCAAAGCTCAACTGAAGTGAGTGGAGGTGCGGCTGCTGTTGTGGAAACCGTTGCTCTTTTGGAGCGACCGGGACGTTCACCTGTTGAGTCTCCTGAAGATGCACGCGTCAAACAATCGGTGCCAGCGGCACCAACAGGCTCACCTGTGATCTACCAGCCAGCGGGAGCACCTGTGGTGTATACCGCAACTGGTGGAACACAGGGTTCGCAAGTAGCTGGGATGTCCCAGCAATCCATGTGTGCTGGAGTGCCACCTACGGGAATGGTGCCTCAGTGGGGAACGGCGGTTGTGGATCCTGGGATTGTAACCGGGGTCATGGCTGCAGAGGAAACGAATCCATGGAGTGCTGCCAAGCGAGTGGAAGCTCTAATGAGCAGTCCACAAACTCCAGTGAAAGAGCTGACTTATCCCATAGTGTCGCAAGACCTGATTGATCAGGCGGACGCGAGGGAGAAGGAAAAGTATGAGGAGTTGAAACAGCAAATGATGGAATTCTTTCAACGGGGCAAGACCGAGATCCAACAAGATCGAGAAAATTGGTTAGCCACGCGGGAAGAGAAACGTGCCCTGGAACGGGTCCGAGAAGCCGGAGGAGGTCACAAGGGCTCTCAGTCAAGTGGGGGGTCTTATCAAACCGCCTCGCCGGAGCTGAAGAATGTCGAGCAGGGTTTTCCTGTGGGGCCACCTCAAGGTGTTCCACCCCAGGTACAACATGTGCAAGATCAACCAGTTCCAGGAGTTCAACATCACCATGATCAAGATCTTCAAATGCAGGCGGGAGGTCAGTTGTGGAATGTTCCTCCTGCGCCCAAGGTCGAACAAGGTTTTCGGCCGATGGATGTGTATATGAATCAAGGGTGGCTAATTGGAATACCACCGGGAGGTATGCCGCAGAGAGCGGCGTCAAGACCACCGATGGGAGTTCCTTGCATGGGAGCCACGGAAAACACAAAACACTTTTTCATCGGTGACCAACCTAATCAATGGTATAATCCTCAAGTCCATGTTGGAGGAGCACCTGCAGGACAAGATCATCGACCTCAAGGGGTTTTTGCATTTCCGGGAGGAAACACCGGACCTATGGGTGGTTATGGTTGGCCAGGGGGTCCACCGCCAGGGCAGTATGGAAATCCCGGACAAGCACCTGGTCCGCCAGGTGGTCATCAGGGAAATCCCGGTCTCCCAGGTGGTCATCAAGGAAATCCAGGACAAGCTGCACCGCCACAACAACAACAAGCTGTAGTCCAAGCAGGACCTCAGGCAGGGGGAGAAGTACCAGGCGAAACGCTAAGATCGGTCGAATTGCCGAAGCTGGACAGGAATGCAACATCTTTGGACTTTGGAGACTGGCTGACAGTTGCCCAACAGATGATTGGGGATGTGAGCTACACCTCAGAGCAATGGTGGGAAGTAGTGATGACTGCTGTTGAACAAGCATACCACCACTGGTTGCAAGCGGATCCACTCATGAGGCTCCGGATGGCGCCTGTGATACCTGACATGGCCCGTAGGTGGCCTCGCACAGAGAAACGGGTGGTGGGTATGCTGCTTCAAGCCGTCCCCAAGGACATCTACGAGGACCTTGTGGCGAACAGACACATGTCAGCGGGTCAAGTCATGTTCAAGCTGTACACCGTCTTCCAACCTGGGGGACAAGTGGAAAGAACTGCCCTGCTGCAAATGTTGGTGGACTGGAAATGTCCATCTAATAATGCTGCAGAGATGGTCAACTCCATCCGGAAGTGGAGAAGATGGGTGGTTCGTGCCGAAGAACTTCAATTGGTTTTGCCCGATCCTCTGGTTTTGGCCGGAGTGGTCGCAAAAATGAGTGATGCCTTGGCCAGATTGGGGGGAGCTCAAGCTGCCTACCGGTTGTCTTCGGTGAGACAGCATTTGGGCATAGATCTCCGGCCGGGAATGCAAGAGATCAGAACGTTTTCTGAACTTCTTCAAGCTGAAGCTGGTGAAATGGCTCTCCGTCAACCGGGGAACATAACACAGGGCCCAGCGGCTAAACCCAATAATGTGGTAGGGGTGAAGTCAATGAGTGGGCCGGATTCATCTGGAAACCCACCAAAGGGCGCTTCAAAGGGAAAACCAGAAGACGCAGCAGGTTCTTCCACCGGAAGGAGGGGAGAAAAGCCCGAGCTGCCGATTAACGCGGCTAATGTGGTCCACAAGACTGCGTGCATCAACTGGCTGACAGATAAGGGATGCCAATATGCTGACCGGTGCCGATTCACGCACACTGTCCTGGACTCCAAAGATGGCCGATGTTTCAACTGTTCTGGAAGGGGACACTCCCGACGTGATTGTCCGGCGGGAAAACGAAGTGAGTCACGAGGTCCACAAGGTGGATCCGAGGAACCAAAGGTGGCCAAAACCACAAGAATCCGCTCAAGATCTCAAGAGAGGAAAAATGGTCCTGGAAAAGAGGGAGGTGCTGCTCAAGAACATTCTGAACCTACCGTGAAGATCAATCCGATGAAGGAGTCCACGGTCACTATAACCCCTGTACCAGAGGAGGCCAACAAGGTTGTGGGAGAAGTGACCAACCTTTTGAAGGGTCTCAATGGACCGGTCTTGAAATCGGTGGGGCATGGTGGGGATCATCTCGAAGTTGAATTTGATGATGGAACAGGTTTATTGGATGGTGGGGCGACACACCCCTTGAGACAGGGATCAACCGAGGAGATCAAGAACGCGGTGCAGGTCACTGTGGAACTCGCACATGGAGCTGCTCAGCTCTATCAAAATCCTGTGAATGGAACCCTCTTGTCGGAGGGACCGGTGGAACCAATTGTACCTCTTCGAGGTTTGGTGGAATTGGGATACACCATCACTTGGTCCCGTGCAGGATGTGTTGTGAAACATCCACGACTGGGAAACATAGAATGTTGGTTAAGGTCTGGGTGTCCAGTGGTTCGAAAGGACCACGCTCTGGCTCTGATCACTGAGATTGAGCACATGGAAATGGAAAAGAGGACCAACCATCGGCTCACCTTGGAAGAGCCCACGGAGAAGACCAAGAAGTGGTGGGGATCACGATTTCCGGAAACACCGGACAGAATTTGGAATTACATGCGGGGTCAAGATGAAGAAGATCCGCAAATGAACCATGATTTACCAT